CCACCAACCTGTGCTGTACAAGACTTGGCCTTCCACAAGGCAGCTGTGGTGCCCACATCTTCCCAACTGTGGCAGCAGCAGCCTTCACCTCTCCAGAGCCCAACCAAGGCAGCTCCTCCATGTGGTGCCAGCGGGGAGGTTCCTGTGCTGGTCCAGCTGCAGCCCTGGGCAAGGTGAGGTGCAAAGGCATAGTCCTCCATAGGGAGGGACTTCTGCGGAAGGGAAGTTGATGGGACAGGACATGAGCTTAGGGTGACCCCAGAGAGGGTCACACATAGAAGTGCAGGAACTGCCAGATGGAGCTGACAGAGCTGAAGTCAACCAGTGTCACATTCAGGCTTGGGATAGAGATCAGGCCCCATGAGGGGGAAAGAAGGGTGTGAGGGACACAGTGCCTTGCCAGTACTGTGGAGTACCTGTGCCATGGCCAGAATCTCCCCACTGAGAGTACTGATGGGAGTGATGCTGCCCTGTCCCTAAAAGAGAGGACATGAGATAGCACGTCCCAAACCCCTTGTCATGTCAATGCTCAGCAGAAGGAAGTGGTCTTTGGGCAGCAAAGAAAGAAACAGCCTGTGTTTTCATCAGGTAGGGACACTCCAGTCAGGCTGGGATTCTCTGCATCCCCTCCACAAAGGCTCTTTTGTCCCTGGGGGCAAAAATACTCTCCGCTTGGGGCAGGAGGTGTTACTTTGTGTGGCCCCACAGCCCTTTGTCTCCCAGAAAATTGCGAAACCCTGAGCCTCCCTGCAGCTCCAAGAAGCTCAGAAAGAGACAGAATCTGCTGGAAGGCAGACGCCCATGCGGGCGCTGGGCCAGCTCGAACCTTCCAGGCTGTTACGCAGCCCCACAGCTGCTTGGCAAGGACATCATCGACCCTCCCACATCACAGCCCCAAGCAGCCTCGGCCAGCTGTGTCCAGGCACTGGGCTGGGATGGCTGTTTTTCTGCTTTATCAGGATCTCGCTGAGCTCGGCGGTGCGCGGGTCATGTTTGCGCAGCGGTTTGTGCAGCTCACGGTTATGTAAGTGCCCGGGCTTACCCCGGAGGCGCGGCCGGCTCTGCCTGCCCCGCGCATGCGCGCGGCTGCCGGGCCTCGCGCGGCCGCGGTGCTCGCGGGCGGCAGCACAGCCGGCCCTGCGCTCCATAGAGGTTTGACACCGTCCCAGCTCGTTACCGAGGTGCACAGCGTGTGCCTGGGCTGCCGCGATTCCCGGTGCTTTCAGGCTGCCTGCCAGGGGACCGGTGGCCGAGCCACGCACTCGGGCAGCGCTGTCCGAACGCTGCAGCAGCCGTGTTTACCCTGCACGGGCTCCCGACCCGACGCTGCTCCGCTGCCAAAACGCCTGCGCCTGCTCCAGTAACCCAGCTCCTGAAGGTCGCTGGCTGGAGGCCGGGCTCGCGTTCCATCTGCCTGCTTTTATTATTGATTGTCCTTATCATCGCTTGAGAGATCAGCATGTCCCAAACACCCGGGGGCAGGACGGGGCTCACCGCCGCTGCTGCTGCCTTTTGCCCAAGCCCTAGCGCTCCTCAGTGGAGAGGTGCAGGCACCAAAAGCTGCGCTGCCACTGTCACCGCTGCCCACGTGCACAAGCCATGATGCCACAAGCTCGGGCCAAGAGACAGCAGTGTTCATGTGTCTGCTGCCGTAGGTCTCTTGCTCTTGCCACCGTCTCCATCTGAAGCACGGGTTCCCATATAGCAGCAGCTCCCCACATGTGCCTGTTCCCAGGATGTGCTTCCAGAAGGACACTCAGCAACTGCATCCCATCACTCTATCACTGTCTCGGCTCCCACAGTGCCTTGGTCCAGTACCCACTGACCTGGAGGCTGAAGGGACATGGGAAGGGACAGGGGACCCTGATCAGTCACAGCAGTGATGCTGCTCCATCACAGCCCAGCTGGGCTGGGACAGCCACCTTGCACAGCACAGGGCAGCAGCCAGATATGAAAGGGTATGAGCAGTCCATCTCTGCTGCTGCTAGCCCAGATACCAGAGGGATAAGCAAGGGAGCACCAGGGTGGCAGCGGAGGCATGTCCAGATGGCAGCAAAAGAGAAGAAAGGAAGGAAAGAGAACAGAAGCAGAGGAAGGAAGGAAGGAAGGAAGGAAGGAAGGAAGGAAGGAAGGACGGAAGGAAGGAAGGAAGTTGTCCCAACATACCATCCTCACAAGAGACCTGTGAGTCCCCATTCTCTGCAGGTGTTGGCTGATGTTTAGCTACTTTGCACAGCATTTGCCAGGCTGTGTTGGGGGACAGGGACACATGTAGCACTGTGTACAGGTGCATTGTCCAGATCTGTGCTGCCTGGCACAAGCTTTTCATGCTTCTGTTGAGAGCACAATGGGATGGAGGGTTGGATGAAAGGAACTGCAGCTCCAGGACACAGTGGTCAAATCAGATTGGGCTTTCATATGCTAATTACCAAACACTGGCCAGCACAGGACCGAGCACACCATACCACAAATCTGCTGGTCTTTGAGGCATTTCCAGCTTGCTAGAAGACACTCCTGGGCAGAACTTTCCCAGGCAGCTTGGAGAACCCCTTCAAGGGTCACCCATTGCCCTCAGGGCATATGGAAAGAGGACCAGAACCAGAGGAAAGCAAGTCCTTGGGACAGGGAATGGAGAAGCATATGGCTCACCCCAACTTGGCCAATGCGCTTGGAAAGGGAAGCTAAGAGGCAGTTCATTTCCAGGACACAAGAATAGCCCCATGGTGAAATGGGGGTGATGGGGTCTCCTTGGGGATGGTGGGACCCTAACCCAGCCCTGCAGGGTGCTACCATGCCCCTGGCAACCCAACCACCCCTTGCTTTGCCATGTGCCTAAGGACAGCCCTTGAATGTGGGGTTTATTGAGCCTGACAAGCCAGATGGGACACCAGATAATCTCTGCCTTGCTGGGGACAGTCTCCCAGCAGGGTCAGGCATGCTTGTCACAGAGGAGTGGAAAATTCCTCTCACTGTGCTGGCACTTACTAGAGCCCAAGCACATCAGCTGTCATCCTGCAGGACTTGGCATGCCCTGGAGTGTTTATCAACACCATTTCGCAAGAGCCATGGCATACAGCCTGGCAGGGGCATGCGAGCCGCTTAGGCAACCTGCTCTGCTGAAAGCCTGTGATCTTGGGAAACACTCCAGGCTGGGAGTCCAGTGTGGATTGATGTCATCTGAGTGGCCACCAGCACGTTCTCCTTTCTGGCCCACTGAGTTCAAGTTCAGAGCTGTGAGCTTTGGTCTTGGCCCTCTCTCAGTCCTGCAGAATCCTTCCCTTGGTCTCACCTGGCAGGGTTGTAAATGACCTCAACATGCTGGTTCCCCACTCACCCAGGACATGCTCCTCCATGCTCACAGGGTATATGGCTTGGGGAGGGAGGTACTCCACTCCCTCCAAAGGGTTTGGAGGTATCAGCTGGCGCAACAGAGTAATTGCGGTGACAGCACATCTGTGTGAGGGCTGCCCTCCAGGCATAGACCAGTGGCTGCATGATGCCTGAGAGATGACACAGCAGGACCAGGCTGTCCCCAGTTAACTCCAGATATGCAGAACTGACACAATCCCCTCAGTCAGGGAAGACAGCAGGCACATCCTGGACGACACTGGCTAAACAAGCAGGGGACGTGGAGTTGCAATCAGGCCCTGGGAGCCCTGCGGTTGCCCCAGGCAGGGCTGGCTATGCGCACCCAACTCCATGGTGCTGTACTTGGCCATCATCAGTGGGTGCAGTAGTCGGATGGCAAGAAGACAGAGTGTCAGTGTTCTGCTCCGCTGGAGGCACTGTGGAGCCCAGGAAATGTCTTAGCTGCTCTTGCAATTTCAAGATGTACCCCAAAGCCCTGCTTTAAGTGGGAAATGGGTGGTGGGTTTGTGAGGTGGGTGTCACTCCCTCAGGGTAAAGAAGTAAAGCATGTCCCCGCCCAGCCTTTCCAAAGGTGCAGCAGCTCCACTTGGCACCAAGGGGATGCGGGACACAGCCTTCCCCAGCATACAAGGTCCCTCCAGTGGAACTGGAGTGCAGGGACCGGGAACAGACGGAGTGTTCCTGGGCTGGGGACTATCCCAGGAAGGCCAGCTGGCTCCTGAAGCATCGCACAGACCTGCCCCAATTCCAGTGCAGTTGGAGCAGCAGCAGCAAATAGGCTTCGTGCAGCCGCCAAGATGTTTGCTGGAGCAGAGGCGCGCATAAACATTTTGTTTAATCAAGGACTCGCAGTGAACACAGTGTACCCTGGCTCCGTGCAGAGGGAACAGCTGCGGCCCTGCGGGGCAGGGCCAGGGACACCGATCGACGGTGGCAGAGCGACCTCCCGTGGCACGGTCCCGATCCCGGGGTGCTCAGCACCGTCGCTGCGGTGGCAGCAGAAGGAAGCCCTGTGACACCCGTGTCCCAGCACCCTGCTCTGAAGGGAGGCTGTGCCCCGGCTGCAGGCGGTTCTGGCTGCTTCCAGAGCAGTGTGCCTGGCAAGGCTTGGTTCGGCTCAGTCCCACTGCAGCTGTGCCCGAACCGAGGGCAAGCTGGAAGAGCCCTGAGCTTCCCTGCCCGTGGGTCTGTGGGTGGTGATCTCATGGCAGTATTGTATCAAGAGAGCCCAAGACCTTGGCAGTGCCAGCTGCTGTGTTTTTACACAGGCAGGATGGGATTGCTTCCGTGCCCTCCTGCCCTTCTGGGAATGAGGTGTTGGGGCTGGGGCCCTCCTGTGCTCCACCAGACCCCCTGCTCAGCGAGAGCAAGAGAGGGGTGAGGTCAGAGCTCTATCTGCAAGCCCCGAGTGAGCAGCACGGGCACTCAACATCTGCCGATGGATCCCGGGCCAGCACGCAAGAACACAACTGATGGAAATGCAGAGCACAGAATCTCTCTGTGGTGGATCTGGCTAAGGGCAGGCTTGGAGGAACTGCCATCACATTCAGGGGTTTTTATGGGTTTTTTGTGTTTGGTTTTTTGGTTTTTTGGTTTTTTTTTTGTTTGTTTGTTTTGGTTTTTTTTTTTTTTTTCCCCCCTGGGATCTGCTAGGAATTAAGCGTCTGAGTTGCTGTGTTTAAACCTCAGCCTTTAAACATCCCTTCCCACTCCCCCCATGTGCTGCACAAACCCCAGGTTTCTTTGGAAGCATTATTTTAAGAATAAGATTTAAAGAGCTCATTTCACAAAGAATTGTGCTATCAGGTTCTTTTTCTTCTTTTAATTTCCAAAAAGGTATTTTTTGTGCATTGGGGACTAGATCGAGAAGAGCTTTGGAGAACACTGTGAAGGCAGCCAGACTGTGGTATTGCCAATCAGTGCACACCTCTTCTTCCCACCAGCCTCCCACTCAGCTGCCAAAGCCTGTTCCATGGCTTCCCAGGCAATTAGTGGTTGCAACACACATCCACACAGCCAGCAGAACCCCTCCAGATTTACATGTGTCCTTGATAACCTCTTGTGGTTTTTTAAGCCTTTGGTAGTAATGAAATGACTGAGGATAATGACAATATAAACTCCCCGAGTGCAAGACCTGGAAACATGTTTTTCTTCTAAGCAGCTGGTGTCCCTTGGTGGGACAGGTCTGAATGGGTGAGCTTCACTCTGTATGTCAACGCCCATGCTCTTGGCAATCAGACTGGAATTAACTGGCTTCTTAGTGTGCACCCAGGGTGGTGTTTGCTTGGTTGGCTGGTTATGGTAACTGAAAAACAGTCCGAATCACTTCAGCCTTGGGCTTCCAGACCTTGCTGCTTTATTTCTAGAGCACCTTGTATCCTATTTTTCCATTTTTCATGGAAACAAAGCTCTACTGGGCTGTCATGAGCTCTGGCAGCCATTCTTTTTCCTCAGCTCCCAGGAAACTCCTCACCTTGACCTAATGGAGGAGCAGCCTGAGCTGCTATCTGGGACAGCACTGGTGTGCAACGGGAAGAGCAGGGACAAGGGGAGCTCACAGAGAGCAATGCAGCAGCTGATCCAGTGTGAATTCCAAAGCTCTGTTCTTGAAATGTTAAAAGACAAAGATTGAGGAAGACACTTTCCATGACAAAGAAAGACACTCTCCATGCCAGAGCTTAGGGAAGGTTTCTACAGAGCAGCAACAGAAGCAGAGACCCAGGACAGAAATATTTTGGTTTGTACCCCTCTCTGCCAACATTTGGGCAGGATTTGAAGGGGGGGAACCAGCAAATCCACTAAGAGTTTGAGGAAAAAAAACTGACAAAAGCATTGGTGAGATTACATTTAGGAGGGTAGTTTAGAGGAGTTTTACTATTTTAGCTCTGGAAAACAGGAGACACCTGACTTACTCCTGAGCTCTGAGGGAGCCCTTATCATCTTCCTCCTCTCCTCTCCTCCTCTCCTCTCCCTGCATCAGGCAGGGAGAAAAGGAAGTATCCTTGATAAGATTGTGAAAGAAGAACTACTATCAAGATGATTTCGATGTCAGCTTAGGTTTTAGAGGACAGAGGTCGGCCGATGGCCTTCTAGGGCGCTTGTGCTGCAGATTGTTCTATAAATGCTGATATGTTGACTCTGCGATCATAAAGGATTTTCACAAGAAACGTATCCCTTTGTAGCCTTGCTTTGTGCTCGTAATTCAGTTGTCAACTGTGTGGAAGGGAAGAGATGCAGTAAGGCCTGCTCACATGCTGCTTAAATCCTTGCTTTAAAAGACAGTATTTTTTTTTCCCAGCATTGCCAATTATTTTGCCCTGAGGGCTGAGGATTATACAGTGCCGTTCCTGTTTCCATAATCAAGCACCTGAACACCTCAGAGCATGTTTAAAACTAAGTGTGATAATAGCTGTATTTTATAAGGGAAAAGCTCAAGAATGAGGCTCGGTGTTTATAACGCAAAAGAACATTATAATTTGAGGTCAACCTTAAACTGATAGTTCTTAATGTCCCGTAGTTACCTTAGACACCCAATAGAGCGTTTGTGTGCAGTCTGACCCAGAGGACAGGCTTTTACATGGGGACGGGCAGCCTCTGCCGGAAAGGGAAACGTCTCCTTCACGGTCCAGCACGGGACGTTCCCGCGGGCAGCTCGGAGGCATTGCGGCTGCGGGGCTCGGCCCAGCGCCTCAGGCTGTCACCGTACCCGGCCGGGGGAGGCTGTCGGGGCAGCCCCTGCCCGGGGCGCGTTTCGCTAAGCCGCACACGCCGCACGTCGGGAGCGCCGCCGCCACCTCACGGCAGCACAGCCCGCCTGCCGTGTGCGCCCCGGAGCCGTTGCGTTGTCCCAGAGCAGAGGAGCGGGCAGAGCGGGCCTGAGCGCCGCGCAGCGAGACACAAGGTGGGCGAGGCCTCCCTTCTCCCCGCCCCCCCGGGCGTCGGTGCGTTCCCGGGGGGGTCCGGGCCGATGCGGCCCCTGGGCCGGCGGCACCGGCACCGGCACGGGCACGGGCACGGGCCGCGGCGGGACGGTCGCCACGGCAACGCGGGCGGGGCGTCGCCCTGACGTCACTTCCGCGCGAAGCGGGGCGGGGTGGGGCGGCACGCGCAGAGCCGTCATGGCGCTGTCACGCGCGGAGCGGTGTCTCGCGCTGCTGCTGCGGCTGCTGTCGCGCGCCTGCCTCGCGCTGCTTGCGCTGCTGCCGCCGCCGCGCGCCGGCCCCGCGCACGCCGCTCCGCGCGCCGTCCCGCCGCCGCGGCACGCGCTCCTGCTGCTGCCCGCGCGGCGCCTCGCGGAGCTGCTCCGCGCGCGGCAGGTACCACCCGCGCCCCGGGGAGGGGGAGCGGGGACAGCGGGTCTCGGTCCGCCCAGCGCCCGCGCCTGACGGCAGGACCCGCTGTGCCCCCTGCCCAGGTGGCGTGCATAGAGGTGGTGGAGGCGTACGTGGAGAGGATCAAGGAGGTGAATCCCCTCATCAATGCCGTGGTTAAGGACAGGTGAGCTGGAGGCAGAGGGCACGCTCGAGGGGACAGCGGCTCCCCGCCTGCCTCTCCTCGGGCCCGGGGCCCGACCGCTGCACTACGCCAGGGGCACGGCGATCCCCGCGCCGCCACCGCAGCAGCAGCGGGCCGAGCGGCCGGCGGCGGCTTGGCCGGGATGCCGCTCCCGGCTCCGGCAGAGACCAGGCAGTCTCACTTCCCCCACAAGCTCTTGCCGCACTTGGCGTCCACCCACCCTGCGGGGACCCCGCTCCTCTCTGATCCAGCGCCAGAACATTGCCGGGTGTTTTGTTGCAGGTTTGAGGAGGCCCTGCAGGAAGCCCGGCAGGTCGATAAGCTGCTTTCGGAGGGTCCTGCCGATGATTGCCTGGAGGAGAAGTTCCCCTTGCTGGGAGTTCCCATCACCGTTAAGGAGGCCTTTTCTCTCTATGGTGGGTTTGTCTTTGTGCCTCTCCCGGTCTTGATGTGCTCCCCATAGTGGTGGGTGACTGTGGCAGGTGCTTGGAGGCAAGTAGTCTCCCTTTCCCTGGCTTGCACCAAGCTCTGCCTGGGCTTCTGTGTTTGTGTTCGTTTGTAGCACACAGGTGCTACAGAGCTTGTGGTGCTTCAGAGGAGCAGCCTTCACTGGGAACCTGCTTCCTGCAGCCCTGGGTTGTCTCGGGGCACTGGCCCTGATGCCTCCCTCCTGTTGACCTTGGCACCACAGGGATGCCCAACACCTCTGGCTTGGTCAACCGCCGCAACGTGATCGCCACCTCGGATGCCACTGTGGTGTCACGGCTGAAGCAGGCAGGTGCCATCCCGCTGGGTGTCACCAACTGCAGCGAGCTCTGCATGTGGTACGAGTCCAGCAACAGGGTCTACGGGCGGACCAACAACCCCTACGACCTACAGAGGATTGTGGGCGGCAGCTCAGGTGAACCCCCGCACCTCAGCAGGGTCCTGCACGAGTGACAGGTTAAAATGCAGTGGGGGAAGAGCTCCAAGTCTCTGCACACAGCTATTAACGTGTCCCTGGGCTCTTGTGGAGCTTACAGGCCTCTTTCCTGGGCACTGCTATAGGCTGTTGGGAGGTCTAGCTGCTTTGCCCTTCTGGATGTTTCATCTGGCATTGCTTCAGCCTGCTCTGTTGTACTTCAGCAGGAAAATCCCTTTGGCCTGCATTCCCCAGCTATCCCCTACCCATCACTAAAGCCAAGGTGTCCCCAACCCCTCTTGCTTTTTAGGTCCCCACTCTCCCTGCTTTCGAGGTGTTCCTGCTTTCCTGGATGATGTGCACCCTAAATCTGTGGTGTTTTGCCATGTTTTCTCCTGTGCAGGTGGGGAGGGCTGTGTCCTGGCAGCTGCCTGCTCAGTCGTGGGTGTGGGCTCTGACATCGGCGGCAGCATCCGAATGCCCGCCTTCTTCAATGGAGTCTTTGGCCATAAACCCACAACAGGTAAGGTGGGTGCTGTGGTCTCCTCCTCTTCCCTACCAGCAGAAATGCCATGAGGTGGAATGGGGGCTGTGGGATGAACCCCTTCAGGGCACCCCTATGCTGGTCGCTGGTGGGATTGCTGTAAGGAGTCAGGTAACCTCTTGCATGGGACAAGCCTGTTGAGGAAGCACGGCTGGGGTTGGCAGTTGGGAAGCTTTTGGTGGCAGAATGCCAGGCACATGGGAGACAGGCAGGGGTTTACCCAAGTATTGCATCCTCAGCATGGGATGTTTTCACAAGGTTGGGATCTGCAGGGATGTTTCTCTGTCTTGCAGTGGCCTGAATGGGTGCTTTTCCTCCCATTCCCACCCCACGGACCTTGCCATCAGCACTTGTGGGGCGTACAGTCCCTGGGAAACCATGTCTCCCTGCACCCAAAGACCCCCCCAGCAGGGCTGTCCCCGTCTGGAGGCGATGCTTGGGGTACTGTCTGACTTCTCTGCTCTCAGGGGTCGTGCCCAATGACGGCCAGTTCCCAGATGCTTATGGGGTGCGGACCAGCTACCTGTGCACGGGGCCCATGTGCCGCTACGCAGAGGACCTGGAGCCTGTGTTGAGAGTCATGGCCGGTCCTGGGGTCAGCAAGTGAGTTGTTCCCACTGCTCCAAGCTGCTGAGCTGGAGTTGGCAGCTCTCTGGTCGTCACAGTGTATTAGGCCTTTGTACGAGACAGGTCTGCAACCTGCCTAGTTTGCTTGTTACTGATTTCCTTCCTCTGCTGCTGGCTTCAGCAGGACCTTGGCTGCTGGGACTGCCCTTCCCACCACCCACGTGCTCCCGGGAGCCAGCAGCCATGGGCAGACTGATAGCTCTCCCTTCACCGGTGAGCTGCTTCCCAGCTCTGTCCCACACACCCCTCCCAGGGCTGGCCTTGCTCCTGGGTATTACAGTGCCTTTTTTCCTGCTGTTAAGTGAGGAGTTTTCCATCCCCACACCATGGCCGGTTCAGTTCCTTCAGTTCTTGGTCCGTGCAATCAAGTGCAACCATGCTGCATGCCAGTGAGGGGCAGAGTGGAGATGGGGCAGATGGGGCAGCCCTTCTTTTTGCCACAGCCTGCACACAGTTGCTCTCTCCATTACCACTTTGCTTTTTCCTGGGCTCTTGTGCAATCCCAGCCTTGGCTGCAGCCAGAGTTTGTAGTCACAAGGTGCTTCTGGAGAAATGAGAACTGTACCAACAGAAACTGGATGGGTCTGAGGAGGCAGGTGAGCAGCTGGATGCGTTGTGGGCAGTAAGTGTCTGTGTCTTCAGGGTCTCACCTTGCCACCCTGAGGGACAGAGCAGGATCTCTTGAGGAGACATAACAAGTGTGTGAGAACCTCTAGTAGTTGCAGAGGAGCTGGGGATGGATTTGTGACAAAGCACCATTCCTTTCCCAGGCTGAAACTGAATGAGAAAGTGTCGCTGGAGCAAATCAAATTCCACTGCATGGATCATGATGGCGGGTCCATTTTTGTATCACCTGTGGACAAGGAGATCTTGCAGGCCCAAAAGAAGGTAGGAAGCAGCAGAGGATGGTGCTAACTGGGGTAAGCCTGAAGATAGAACGTGGGGAGACTAGTCAGAGGAGCCCTGGGGAGGGGAAAGAGTTGCTTTATGTGTGGCTCCTGCAAGAGCTGGTGAAATGAAGGGCTGTGCAGGCAGCCTTGCATCCCAGTCCTGTGCTTTCAGGGGTTAAAAAGTAGAAAAAACTTTTCTTCTTTGGGGCTAAAGAAGACACAAGGGGAAGATCTCGCAAGCAGGTCCCCTTACTATCTTCTCTGCAGTTTCCACGGGCTGATGGCAGGCATCAAATCTTTGTGGAAACAAGCCCATCCTTGCTCTTCCCTTCAGGTGGTGGAGCACCTCGAAAGTGACCTCGGGGTCCGGGTTCAGCATGTGGCAATCCACAAGATGAAGTATTCTTTCCAGATCTGGTCAGCCATGATGTCATCCAAAGACAGTGAGGGGCAGGTGTGTCAGAGTGAGTTGGCAAAGGCACAACTTTGGTGGCATCAGGGAAGAAACAGCTGTTTGGGGCCAGCTGTGGAGAGTTGTAGGCTTCCCAAACCTATCCAGGGGCTTTCCCTGCTCCATGTGTCCCCCCAATCCTCCTTTTATCTCTTCCTAAAATTGCACAACACCCTCTCCTTTGGTGTCCTGTGGGTTGAGGCCCTGGCTCTCAGCAGAGGAGCAATGTGGTAATTGGGGTGGGAGCGGAGGTTGTTTTGGCACATTGACCTTTTCCATGCAGGTTGGTAAGTCAGCCAAGCAGGGGGCATCCTGCCTTGCTCTTTGCCCCATGCTGTGTCTTCTGACTTGAAGGCTCGGATTAACACCCTTTGGGATGCCAGGACAGGCAGGGGACTAGCAGCTTTCCAGCAGGAGACCTGCTTGTGTAATTTTTCCCTGGAATGGCAGCTGCTGTGCTATGCTCTGTGCATGCAGGAAAGTACTTTGTAATAAAATAAACTTCTGGGAGTGTCATAACTTGTGTGTTCCTGGCACAGAGGCAGTGATAAAACGGCCCAGCCCCACCACACCAACGAGGGCTTGTCTGGCTCCTCTGCCTCCTTCTTCCAGGTCCCGTTGTCATATCACAGGAGGAAGTGCCTCTGGGACATTATCCCTTGCATAGTGTCAGTTGGGTGCTGCTTTGGGGGGTTCTCCCTTCTCCTTGCTTTCTCTGATGGGGAAAAATGCTCCTGCTGCTGCCCTGGATCAGCGTCAGAGCTGTGGAGCTCCTGATGGGCATCTCCTGTGTGAAAGTGGGAGCATCTCACATTGGGATAATGGGGTAACCAGAATTTCACTGTCCATTGCCAGTCTGTGCTTCCCTGCTGCATGTTGGCTTTGCTGACAGGGGGAGTGGGTGTGTTACAGGAGGCACAAAGATTCACGGACCTGCTGGGGGACCATGGGAAGCCAGTGTGGCCGCTGTGGGAGCTGATGAAGTGGCTCGTGGGGTTGTCTTCTCACACTCTCCCAGCTATTGGTAATGCTGGCAGGGGCCCTGGGAAGTGCAGAGGCAGTGGTGGGGTGGGCAAGTTGTTAAAGGCAGGTATTAGCCTTCCAATGCCCAGTGGAGCAACTCGGGGTTTGCCCTGAGCAGCTTCAGCCTAGTTTGGCAAAGACACTCTGAGTCTTTGAGTTGCATGCAAGCTTAAGAGTGTGGATCTTTGATAAATGGGAGTGGGTACCTTGGGGAAGGAGAGAGGATGGTGGAGCTGGGGGCAGGGTTCACTTCTGCTGTGAGCCACGCCAGAACTGCTAGGGGCTCAGAGAGCTCAGGGTCTGCACCGATCTTGTTTCCTAGCAGCAGGTACTAGAGGAACCCTAATTAGTGCAGTTGTGCTGCTGTCTAATGAGTGCTGAGGTCGTTATGCCAGCTCTGCTCAACCCCACTGGCTGGAAAAGCTGGAAGGAAAGGGCAGGTTGAATGCTTGTCCCTTGGCAGAGCTGAGGGAATGCTGCCCACAAGGTTGTGCTAGGGGGCAATCTGCTGTGGCTACTGGCAGGAAGGGGTACTTGGGGAGCCACCCCAGAAGCAGGGGATGTTGCATGTGGCTGGGCATTGTGTTTCTGCCCCACATAGCCCACGGTCCTGTCATACGCTCTTGTCCGCATTTCTACCCTTTGCTGCAGCTCTGGGACTGACAGAGAAGCTGGTGAACCTCAACCTCAGTGGGAAGGCCAAGCTGGTGAGCATGGGGAAGAGCCTACAGGAGGAGATGGAGGCACTGCTGGGGCCGGATGGGGTGCTCCTCTACCCCTCACACCCCACCATCGCCCCCAAGCACCACTCGCCCATGTGCATGCCCTTCAATTTTGCCTACACAGGTGAGCAGCCCTGGCTCCTGTGGAGTTGCAGCTAGGGCTAACCAAAATGATCTCCCTGAGGCAGCAGTGTGGGCTGGCAGCTGGGCTGTTGTATCCATAGTGTTTGCATTGCTGATGGTGGGCTGTGCAGCAAAGAGAGGTGTCTTGTTGCTCCAGAGAGTGAAGTGAGGGTTGTCGTGCATCTTTTACCTTTTGCCAAAGGTGCCTGTCCACAGCAGGGCAGGTGTGACTTTGTGGGTGGTAGTGGGGTTTAGCAGGAACCTGAGACCTGCCATCTCTTGAGGTACCGCCTGGGGCCCCTTATGTGGTCTGAACACCTCAGTGCCACTGCCTTGCTTTGTGGAGTGATGGAAGGCTGGTGCCTGGCACAGGAATATCCCAAATTTGGCATGCCACAGTGTGTGCCATCCCTCATGGATGCTGTTTATACACATGATGTGGGCACTGGGAATCTCTGGCCAGTGATGTCCTTTGTCACCATGTCTCCACACTGCTGCATGAAGCACCAGCTGCCAGGATCTTGGTGCTTTGTATGACAGAGCTGCCTGCCCAGGGTGGGAGAGCCGGGCAGTGATGTATCCCAGTCGTTGTGCTCACTCTGATCTATCCAACCTTCTCTCTTGCAGCCATCTTCAATGTCCTGGGCCTGCCGGTGACACAGTGCCCGCTGGGGCTGGGCAGTGAGGGGCTGCCACTGGGCATCCAGCTGGTGGCAGCCTCCTACAATGACCACTTGACGCTGGCAGTGGCTCGGTACCTGGAGAAAGCCTTTGGAGGATGGGTTTTGCCAGGGGAAGGTTAACCTTGGGAGGCAGGAACAGAGGCAGTGACAAGTGCTGATGCTTGATCCCATCACGGCACTGCCTGCTCCCTCTACATCCCCCTGCACCCTGCTGGGAGTGGCTGGTGGTGTCTCCAGCGCAGGAACAGCTGGACCATTGCCACTGGAGTCCTCATCCCTGTGACACCCTCTGTCAGGGAGAGACTTGCCTTTCCCGAATGCCTCAGGAGCCCCAGTGCTACAGTCTGAGGATGCCCTGTCTGCATCCTGCCTGCAGTGGGCACCCACCCACCTTTTCCAGACTGTGGAGTTGGCCAGCTCTGTAACCCTTCTGCTTTCAAAGCGCTGAGTGAGAGCCGGGCAGAGGACGTGCTTCCGGATTGCTGGAGGCAGCTGTGCAGCATCCTTCAGGGCTGGACTGTGCCTACTGCACCCAGGCTTGCTAGCCCCCACAGTCCTCCCAAGCTCCTGCAGGCTTCCCCCCACCCTCTGACCAAAAAGGGAGAGGGGTTGAGGGGGCTGGAGGAGCCATAGGCCTGCCTCACCAACAGTGCTTTGTGGGGTGGTGGGTGCTGGGCTCTGCAGTGTGTGCAGCTGTCAGGCACAGCTGGGAGCATTTCAGCACTTGTGTTCAGCAAGGTATTAAAGAGCTTGTCCAGTCTACTATGGCTGTGTGTCCTTTTCCTCGTGGCTGTCTCCCTTCCAGCTCCTGCCAGGCCCCAGCCCCATCTCTACCAGGGATGTGTCAGAGCACTGCTGGCCATTGAAGTGGGACAGCAGTGGAGATGCTGGCATCGGCCCCCGGGGGGGCACTTGGCCACTCTAGGGTTCTTGTTTTGGAATGCCCAGGATGACAGTGACTGCCCGGCCCTGGGCAGAGCTGAATAGTGCTTATGAGCTCCACAATGCTGCCGTCAATGGCTGTGTTAGTCTTGCAATGGTTGCACAATTCTTGGGAAGCACAAGTCCAGCTGTGTTTTGTCCCAGTGGGCTGCTGGAGGCACGGCACTCTTGAGGTGGTGCAGAGCCATGTGCAGGTCTCTCATGGTCTCCAGGGCAAAATGCGGGCTCCCAGCCCTGTGTGCCCAGCTTGCTGCTACTGGTTTTGCTGGGATGTCCTGGCCTTTGTCTGTCCTGCCATGTGCCACCCCTGGCCTGAGCCCTTGCTCCTTTTTGTCCCAATACCACTGACGGTCCATGCAGGGGTAGCGCAGGATGCTGGGATGGCGTGCTGGAACAGGCTGTGCCTCAGCTCTGGTGTGCAGAGGGCACTGCTGAGCACCCGTGCCCAGCTGGGACGTTGCTAACAAGGAAGCAAGGAAGGAAAAAAACAAACCCTGGCTCAGCAAAGGAGGTACAAACCACCCAAGTCAAATCACGTCTCCCAGCATGGAGGCACAGACAACACGGACTGTTCCCCATCTGGAGGAATCCTGGCAGCTGAGCAGACCGTGGTAGCGCTTCCAGTGAACACTCGGAGCCAAACGTGAGGTTGCTGAGCTGAGGGTGTTGTGTTTAACAGTGTGGTTGGTGAGGTGGATTTCTGATACGGCAGAGGGGCAGAGAGGAAATGCTGGATCAATGTTGGGGGGGTGCTGGTGCTTCAGGGTAGTGTGATGGGGATGCAGACAAAGGAGAGGGTGTGCAGAGCAGAGGGGGTTAATCCCCACAATCTCAGTTATTACCACAACACTGAGATTTTTCCTCTGGCCATGGCAGAAAGGGGAACGGGTGTGCTGGGGTTCAGAGCGGGGCTGGCACAGACTTGCCTGCAGTCACCCTTGCTGCTTCAGGGAAACATTGCCTCCCTTGTGCTGCCTTCTGCAGTGAGAGCAGCCCTGTCCCTGCCTGCACAGGCAGCCAGTCCTAGGGTCTCCATCAGTTCCCCAGCTCTGTGTCTCCATAAGCCCCAGGAACAATCCTGGAGGTTCTTTCTCCCTCCAGGCAGCAATAATGCCTCCTTCAATGGGCTCTATGGGCTCTGTTGCAAAGCCTCCCATTTTCTTGCTGGTCTCAGGATGGGGGGCATTGCTAGCCTGACTGCCTGTGCTTCAGCTCTGATGTTTCAGAGGTCCCACCTAAGCCCTCACCCACAGTTTGCAGCTGCGTGTCCCTGCTTGTTGGCTGTTCCTCCTTGTTTCAAGCTCTTAATGCTGCAAGGGACAGAGAAAACGAGGGCAATGTTTTGTACTCACATGCTGAGGTGGTTGCGCTTGTCGGTGCAAAGTCAGTGTGAAATAGGAAGAGTGAGAAGCAGTGACAGTGGTGAGCCAGCCCCACTGGTGTCCCATCTGGTCAGGGTTTCTCCCACCCCTCTGCCTCTGGAGGTGGCCCTGGGCTCCCCACCTTCATGGGGGAATGTGTCCCCACAACCACAAGGTTGGTGTTGGTAGCCTCAAAGCCCGTGGATGCCTGCTCTAGGAGAGGAAGGTTACCTCCATGACTGGGAAGAGCAGGGAAAGATTCCTGGTGACTGAATGGTGGGGCAAGGCCAAGGTAAGAAGGGACTGGCCAGGTGCAGGTGCCCAGCCAGACCAGCTTCTGCTGTGGTTCACAGTCTGAGATCTCTGCTTACAGCCCAAGAGAGTCCCTCATTGTGCCCCATTTTACCTTGTGGGTGATGTCACACACGGTGCCCTCCCCGTACCGGCGAGGCTGTGGCATGGCTGGGGGTGTCCTGGCAGTGGTGTCACAGGTTGTGCCAGTGTGAGTCATGCCCAGAGCTGGGCTGAGTCACCTCCCCAGTGGTGTGAGCATCAGGTGAGGAGCTTTCTCAGACCCACATCCTGATGACAAAAGGGAGTGTGGCTTCTCGCCACAGAGTGCCAGAGGTGGGTGCAACAAAAGGTTGCTGCAGCATGTGCATAGTGCCATAGCAGTGTGGCAGCTGCCCAGTGTCCCTGTAGGTCCACTTACCACCACAGCCCTGAGGGTACCTGCCCTGCTGCACCTCCCAGGGTGCAGCAGAAGGTCCCCTCCATAGTGGACACCTCTGTGCCATAGTGCCACAATAGCGCCACAATAGGCATGTGGACTCCATGGGGCAGTGTCACTGGCTGAAGCGTCTGTTTTTAATCCCAGGTCCCAGCAGCCCATCACGTCTGTGGGTAGCAGAACAGCTCCAGCACACTCATGCCTTTCCACGGCCCCCAGCATGGCCGCATAGTGCTGGGGCAGATGGATGGGCTGTGGTAGGATGAGCCCTGCCCTGCTCCTGCTGCTGTTCCTGGCCAGCTGCTCCCTGCTCCAAGGTAAGCCAGTGCTGAAGCTGTCACCACAGTCTGCGGGGGACCCTGGCTGCAGGGCAGGAGGAGGCACAGGGACGCCTCTCAGACCTACTGAAGGTACCATAAGAGGAGAGGCCCAAGTGGTCATCAAGGAATGATGAGAAAGAAAACCCCCGGGTCAGCAGCAGCTGTGTCAGGGTGTTGTCTCTCCCATTTTGTCAGCTGTGTCTCTGCTTTGGCAGAAGCGTGGAGAGGGTGTTTTCAGTGTGCAACAAATTGGGGGGATACAGGTGCTGAGCACCTGCTGTGAAGTCAGTGTTTGCCCACTGGGACAGAACTGGGGAACCTGTGCACTGGGCCACAAGGGGACCCTGCAGGACACTGCCTCATGCCCCTCTGCTCCCTCCCCAGGGACGCTACTGAGGCCACAGCACGTCAGGCTGGAGGCACGGAACTTCCACGTCTGGCTGCGTTGGGAGCCAGACCCCAGCTCACCCAGCTCTGTCACTTACGAGGTGGAGTGGAGGAGCAGGTAGGTGGGGAGGAGGGGGTGAAGGGGTCTGCTCCTCTTACACCCTGGCAGAGGCTGTTGGGGACCCCTGGCAGCCAGAGGACCGTTGTCTGGCAGTAAATGCCACAGAGTAACGGAGCAGTGGAATTGGCAGGGATTGGCTTGTCCTACCCCTGCACATGCAAGGTCAGCTCAGGACTGTGTCCTGGTGGGTTTTGAACAACTTCAGGACATCCCTTGACAGCTTGGTCCCTTTCCTGGTCACTCTCCCAGTAACAAACTAAGGGGTTGCTTTTGGACTGCGGTTTTGGATTTTTTTTTCCCATTATGCTAAATGGGATTTCCGGTATTTCAACTTGTGTCCATTGCCTCTTGCCCTTTTGCTGGGCACCACTGAGAGGAAGGCTCTATCTACTTCTCGTGTTGATAAGATTCCCCCACCCAAAGTCACCTTTCTCTGAGGCTCAAGCTGTCACCACTCGCTCAGTTTCCCTCGTACCACAGAGCCTCAACAGCCTCAACTCCTTGGTGGGTTCTCCCTGCCACGGCTGTGTGTTTTCTCATTGTGGAGAGCACAGGTCAGAGCACAGTTCCAGATGCCATCTGTTCCCAGGAGGGTGTCAACTTGCTGGTAACCCCCCTCCTCACACATCCTGGGAATGCTGTTGGCTGTTGCCTGGGCTTTCCTATGCTTTCCACCTGGGCAGGATGGCAGTGGCTGGGCAGCCCTCTCTTTGGGCTGGGAGGATGCTGAAAAGAAGCAATCCCTGTGCTTTCTCCCTGGGCAGAACCTCGAACTGGACCAAGGCAGGTGCCTGTGGGGGGAGCAGCAGAAACTCCTGGGTGTGTGAGCTCTATTTTGACAGGATTCATGATATCTACTGGGCACGGGTGAGAATGGTGGCCGGAGGTGAGCAGTCCGAGTGGGCCAGTTCCAGCGAGCTGCAGCTGTACAGAGACAGTAAGGACTGGGGAGCTCCTCCAGCTGGGCTCTTCCTGGGGGGCTGATGGGGAGAGGGGACCTTGGAGAGATCTGATGGGATACAGTGGGAAAGCATTTTAGGATACTGAAGGGAAAAAAGTCAAGAGCCCTAACCAGAGGAAAGAGATGAGGCAGAGCTGCCAGAGGATAGCTGGGTGAAGAGCAAAAGGACAGAGGAAACACAGTGAGGTGATTGGTAGGAGGCCCCAGGCCAGCAAGGCACCATGAGAATTTGGGTCTCTGGGGAATGCAGTGAGATGGGGCAGGAAAGAGGATATGCCTCCGGGCTTGGCTTTTGAAGGCTCTTCTTCCTCCCCTGTCATGGTCTGGGATGAAGCTGGTGCAGACAGGTGCAGGCAGGGGCAGACCCTCTGGTGATCCATTCATCCTGACTATTGTGTTTGCCTGGTGTGGGAATGTGCCTCTTCTCAGCCACAGACTGGCTGCTCTGTCCAAAAAATCTAGCAGTCTCTTGGAGCTAGAAAATTTTCAGGGCCCTCCTCTGACTTCCATCAGAAGGGTTGTTGCAATAAACAGAATGTGTAAGCTAAATGGGTTCCATGTTGGCGGTTTGTGTTCCCTTGTTCATTCCCTCTGCATCCAGCTGGCATGGAAGTGGGTGCATTCAGTTAGAAAGTGATTGCTGGCCTTGGCAGTGGGGTCTCCAGATGCTGGTGGATGGCTCAGGGGTGAAGGTCTCAGCAGAGGGAGCCGGTGGTGGCACAGGTCTGTTGGTGTGAAGAGGAGGCAGAAGCAGTGCTAGCTGTCATGAAGCTGCCATTCCTAGAGCTGGTTTCAGAGCACAGAGTGCCATCAGGCAAGACCAGGGGAGCTTCTGTGCTCTGAGAGGGTAATGTCAGACAGAAAAATATAATTTCTAGAGAAACAAGATGTCTGCCTTCCTTTGAAGGCCTTAATTTTCAATTTTTTCCCCTTTCTTACAGCAATTGTTGGCCCCCCCAAGTTGTCCTGGCTGCTCCAGGACCAAATTCTCAGTGTAAACATCATCACACCATCCACTCCCTACCAGAGAAGAACTGGTTCCTACAAGCCAGTCAACCGAGTGCTGCTAAAGCTGTGGTACTGGCTGCACCTGTACGAGGGGGACCTGCTTGTCCAGCAGGTATGTGTGGTAGCTGGGCAGGGCCCAGAAATGCAGGGCTTGCACAAGCTTTCCTGGTGCAGCAAAGCCACCATGTCAGGTTGCAGTGGTGTGGGGGTGCCTGTGCTGCAGCCCTGCCACAGCTGGCTGCGCATGCAGCTGTGAGGTGCTGTGCACCCCCAGTCTGGGGCTCCCACCTCAGCAAGGCAGGAGACCACTTCCCTCCCTTGGGTGAGAAGAACAGGACTGGTTCTGTTGAGATGAAAGGTGATGCCACAGGTGTTTCAGGAGATGCTCTGGAACGTGAACACCTCCTGGGGCAAAGAACTGAGTGTTGGAGGTGCCCGGGAGGAGGGACCATGGGGCAAGTGGGATGTTGGGGCTGCACAGAGCAGTGGAGCCATGCACAAACCCCACCTCCAGCTTCTGTGGCCACCCGTTCCATCTGCTTTCAGGTGCCCTGCAAATGGAGCAGTAAGGAAGTGCCTTGCACCTTTGGGCACCTGAAGCCCAGCACACAGTACTGTGTCCGGACGGTGGCTGCAGACATTGCCCGGGAGCGGAGCCAGGAGGCTGAGCAGTGCCTGGTGACTCCAGCAGGCCCTTCAGGTGGGAGGACTCTCACCAACTCAGCTGGCACGGTTGCATCTCAGGTCCTGCTCACAGCACAAACTTGTGTTGAGGTGTGAACACCTCACCCTCAGCCACTGCGGTCAGGGTTGTGGCCCAGTGCTGCCCAGTGGGGACCTCTCATAGTGATGCTTTCTTGTCCTCTGCCTTGGGCTTGCCTCCTGAAACATCCCAGTGTGATGTGGATGGGAAACACTGATAGAGGGTGGGGTGGGAGGGATGTGTTTGACTGACCCCTTAGCCTGCTGTGACATCCTGGCAGGCTTTCCATGGGTCCTTGCTGTGCTGAGTGCCTTCTTCCTGCTGCTGCTACTAAGTGTGGCCGGGATCTGCTTCATGCAGCTGTATGTCTTTCCCAGTCCTCCGGAGATGTGCCTCCCAAAAGCACTGGTGAGTGACAATCCTCCTCCAGCCTCCACCTTGTGTGTAGCCATAGCCAAGCCAGGGTTCCCTGCATTTGCAAGGGCTCAGCACCTCCTTTCCTCCAACTCTCACATTACCAAGCCCATTTTGGTACCCAGGTGCCTCCCCTGCCATCTGAACCACTGTCCCCCAAGGAGAAGGTACTGGTGGAGGGCATTGGCCAGCCACGGGTCACAGCAGAGGATGGGGTCTCAGGCAGTGCAGCCCTTGGTGTTCAGCACAGTTTGTCAGAACCCCCTAGTTGGCAGGGCTTTGGCCAGCTGAGGCTGACCATGTCACTGCTTTTTCCTTGCAGGCTCTCCAGACCAGCGAGCTGAATGTGGCCCTGCACGTGCCTCCACTCCAGCTTGAGGAGGACCCGCTGGCCCTGCTCCTGCAGACTGTGCTCCCCTCCCACACGCCACCCACAGCTGTGCGGGCACCCGCCACGGTCCCACAGCTCCTCCGAGGCCTTGTCCAGGATGTGAGTGGCTACTGTGCCAATGGGTTTGGCCCAAACTGCACTGAGGGAAGGGATCCATCCTGCACCCACAGTCAGCTGGGTCATGCCTTAGGTTCCCAGGTCCCCTCACAGCTGGAGAAGGATGGGGAGGCAGGCGATGGGGATGATTTGCCAGAGCAGCTGGTGCTAGTGGGACTGGCTGGACACAGCTACACAGGTGACAGGGACAGCCAGATACCTAAAATATGGCTTCCCCTGCACCTCCAGCTTTACTCTAAATGCCAATGCCCAGTCCTGGGAGCAGGCAGCCACCTTCCTCTGGCCGTGCCAAGCAGAAGCTGCAGCCAGGAGTACCTGCAGGAGAGTCTCAGCACGGCTGGGCCCTGGATCCGGCTCAGCTCCGTGAAGCTCCTGGCCGGTGTGGAGGCAGAGGGGGGGCAGCGCCTCTGTGCTCCCCAACCCCTGCGTGGCGGCCGGACTGAAGCAGAACAAGGTGACAGCGCCGTGCAGCGAGGCTGCTCGGAGCAGGCCGAACCGAGTGTGCCCAGCCCCTGCCGGCTGCCCCCCTCGCCGCGCAGCGTCCTGCGGGCAGCGGCCTTGTCCGGCTACGAGCCCCGTGCCCCGCCCGGCGCTGAGCCGTAGCGAGCGGGGCAGCCCCAGCTCCCGCACGGCCCGAGGGCTCCCCGAACATCCCGTGACGGCTGCCTGCCCCAGCCTGTGCGTGCAGGGCCGGCCATGGGACTGGGGCAGCCTCCAAGGGCAGGCAGAGGCACATTCGGGCCAAGGATCCGCCAAGGACAGGCGGGATCCAGAGCTTTCCTCTGGGGGTTTGGTGCTCTTGAGACACAGCCTAAGGAGCACTGACCAACGCTGAACCCCCAAAACTCTTATCTAGAGATCTGTCTGTATGTGGGCGTGTATGGTACAGTAGCTATACTAATGTAACACTGATATATACATATATATTTATAAAGCTCTTTAATGGAAATTGTTGGGGTTTTTACTCCTGTGGAAATGTTGATTCTGTGCTGGAGCTGTTTTTAAATATCACTAATTTATACTAGAAAACTGGCTTCTCTATTTGTTGTTTCTGTGTTACAGACCCAGCATGGCCCTTCCCTGTGCAGCAGTCAGGAAAGGCACGGGGTAAACTTGGGGTTTTCCAGGCAGAAAATTGCACCCACAATCTCTGTCTTGCTCTCCTGTGGGAAAAGACTGTTTTTTAGCACCATGGGATACATTTATTATTCCTGCTGCTAGCACTGGGGTGATTTATGGCTTAGAAGCCCTGCCCTGTGGTTGTCCCTTGGGATGTGTTTTGGGGATGTGTTTTGAGGCTGTGCCCTGAAGCCACAAAGGCCAGGGGAAACCTCCTGCTGTGTAGCAGGCTGGGATCAGTGGAGTCAAAATGCAACAAATGCAACAAAATGTGACAAATCCAGGCTCTTGGACTCACAAAAATTACTCTGGATCTGGGAACAGGTGAGAAACTGATGTCTAGTGTCCAGGCAGCTGGTGGAGGGGATGGAGGTACAGTGCTGCCAGTCTTAGGGAGCCTTTGGGGCTGTGCAGGGCCGTGTTCCAACACTGTGAGTCACTCCTGGCATCCCAGCCATGTTCCATCCCTGCCTCGTACTGCAGGCTGACCCCTGTAGCCCACAAGGGTCCATGAGGGAGCAGAGACCCACCTGCAGTTCAGGGAGGCCCCTATACCAGATGCCCAAAGGAGGCCATGACTCTATGGGAAGATCATGACTGGAGCAAGCTCCAGGCAGGACCTGTGGCCCCATGGAGAGAGGAGCCCAAGCTGAAACAGGTTTGCTAAGGGGATTGGGAGAGTGATAGAGCAGCTTTGGGATGTGTCTGGCATCTGGCCCAGGTCAATCTCTTTCAGTCAATGTGAGGACATGTCACGTATTGAAGAAATTGAGCTGAATTAACACAAACAAAAAGGAAAGAGAGAGTTCCAAGAGCTGTTTGAGGAACACATGTATTACCCATATGCTTTTTTTCTACCTATGAAGTTGGTGTCCAATTTCCATCTCCTTTGTCCCTCACAGCGTCTGATCTGCCTCAAGGTCATGGTCACGCCCTACACACCTGCAGCCCTGTTTGATCAATTGCCTCATCCCTGTAGCCCACAGAGCCTCCAACCTCACCCTACTCTGGAAGGTCACTGCATGGTCCCAGGTAAGGCACCTCTTAGCAGGAGCATCAGTCAGAGCTGCTGTTTGTGCCACAGGCTCTGGGCAGGAGCCACATCCCAAGCAGGAGCTTGTTCAGGCCCAGCAGAGTGTCCATCGTGTTGCTCCAGCCCGGTCCTTAGTGGTTTGCCAGGACATTGGACCAGTGCAATGGGACCAGACTGGCTCCCACAGCTGCTGTGTTGTGGGAGCTGGGCTTACATGGGGCACGAGCAGTGCTCTGATTACAGCTGGCCAGGTCTCTGCAGGTCCGAAGAGGACCAGCTCTTTCCTGAGTCTGTGGCTGGACAAGGGTGCTGGTGTCCCCATGGGTGATTTAGGCAGTCACTCACTGGCAGCAGGGGCTTGCCCTGGCCCAGGGGTGTTTGGACAGCTGGAATGTTCCCACTCATATAAAAGAGTTGTTCACGGCGAGTGGAAAAAGATAGAAGGGTTGTGACATTTCAAGATGCCATCAGCAGCTGAAGTTTCCGAGTGGATGCAAGAGGGGGTTTCTGCTTTGCCTCAGAGGTGCGAGTAGCATGTGGGTTTCTGCAGAACCACAGAGAGAAAGTGCAACATTTGCTGCAGGGTGAGGTCCTGGCATGTCCCAGGAGAGACCTGTCACTGCTATGTGCAGCACGGGGCCTGGGTGGAGTGTCTGAATTAGATCCCACTTTCATCTGCCTGGCAGGTTGTTGTGTGCTGAACAGGACTGGACTGTGCTGGAGGATGGGCTTGGGTCAGGGGTAAGCCCCCAGCCCTGGGCAAGACATCAGCCCCAGGCAGGTCTGTGCAGGACACCAGACCAGTCCCTCCATCACCACTGCAGCCTCAGTCATGTGCATACAGCGGGGTCCTCCCTCAGCATTCTGTGCTCCCTCCACAGCCTGGAAAGGGCTGAGCCAGTGACTGGGCCTTAGGCACCCAGCCCACCCTGCAGCACCATCCTCTTGGAGGTCAGATGTCATCTCTGGTGCTGGCTCAGGCCCACGGCACAGCACTGTGGCTGCAGGTACTGGTGCGGGGGCTGGTGAAAGCTCTGACTCACCACGATCTATCCCCTGTTCCTGCCTTCTCTCTGTGGTTTCACATTCTGCTGGAGGCAGACCAAAGCAAAAAGTGAGATGCTACTGCAAACAGCTCTTTATTAGAAACAGTGGGTTTAAAACTGTGTAAGAGTGTATTTCTTATTACTAATTCTCAGAGAGCAGAGGTGCCAGCCTATGAAAATGGTGCACAGTGGAAAATTGCTCTTTGAGGGCTAGTGGGGCTTTCACAGTCACTGAGTGGGAACCATTGTACCTGACAAACATGAGAGATGTGGTGGCCCCTGAAATGATGGGGGGAAATCCAGCTCTTATATTTTGTGGGCTGCCAGTACCCAGGACCATCCCCATGAGCCTTTGGGAGGCAAACAGCAGGATCTGCTCTGACCCTGTGCCCACTCTGCTCTGTCTGCTTTCTTTCCTGCCTGTCACTGTCAGCTGCCCTGACACCTCTCTGGGACAGCCCAGAGCCACCCCAAATCCTCACAGCCACCTCAAGCGCTGTCCAGCACATCTGTGTGTATAGCAAAGACCTGGGACCCCACTAAGGCCCTGTCACTCAGCCTCCCTCTGCAAATTGCCTTTGTGATGGATCTGTAGCTCTAGGTAGGTCCCTGAAGCAGCACAGAGCAGCAGCTGTCCTGCTGGACCCCATCCTTCAGACCCGAAAGGCTTTGTGGGTTGACAGGTCTGAGCTGCAACATCCAGGCCACTGACTCCTGCTGCACCTCCCTCTCAGTGGCCTTAGCTGCTTGCCTCGGTCAGGAAGCTGACCAGGATGGGGACTGTGAAAGACCCAGAAGCTGGAGCCTGAGTGTGGTATGTTTAGAGGATGTGCATGAAAAGGGCTGCAGAGCTGACAGGCTGCAGAGAAGTGAATTTGGTGGCTCAGACCTGTGTGGTTTCTCTCCAGGCAGGAGCTTTCCTGCAATTCAGTGGATTGGGACCCAAGCAGGGTGATTGGGACGTTCAGGTCACCCCAGGGGACTGTAGAGCAGAACTGGTCCTACTTCATGTTCTGGTCTGGGTGTACCCTCATCTGGGGATGCGTGGCAAGTGTCTGCACTCAGAAGGTGCCAAGGGCACCCTGACAGAGTCATATACCGCCTAGCTTGGTCACCAGGTCTCCTTACTCTGCAGGACAACCGCCCCTGTGTTGTCCTCACCGCTCACCACTGCTCCTCTCGGGGTCTGTGGCATACGGCCAGTTCCTGTGCTTCCCATCCTTCAGACGCACAAGAGGGGATTTCTGGTTCTGCAGCCTATGGGAACGGCAGCTCAGCTCAACACTTTCCCACTTCCTGACACTGCTGCAGTAGCTCTCTGCCCCCAGGATCATTCATGCTCCTGGTGACAGACAGGACCACCAAGCTGCCCTCTGAGTTGGCTCACGATGCACTCTGAGGTGGGGGGGAAGGGGGGTGGTGTTTGTGCTTTCTCCTCATGGCACCACAGCAAATGGCATGAGCCTGTCTCCAGGATTTTTCATTCTGTGACATGAAACCTGGCAGGATTTTGATTTTTTCCATCTGATTTCCATCTGACTTTTTTCCATCTTCTATTTTCCAGAGGATGGAAAACAGGCTAGATACAGATTTTTTTTAAGGAGAAAAGTCCCAACTGTGTGGCATGCCCAATTGAAATGGATGATAGCTTCACCTCAGCTGTTTCCCAGTTGTATCCATGCCTGACAGATGGGGACTGGCAAACAGAGGTAATCAATGACCTCTGGATAATGCACCTTCAACCATTCCATGAGAAATGAGAGCCTCTGTTTTGTGGTCAGCAGGGTCACAGTCAGCCTTGTGATTAAACAATAGAGGCTCAGGCTGCTCATCATCCTGTCCTGTCTACCTCAAGAAAGTCCCAGTGTGATGTCCTACCCCATAAGATGAGATGACACAATAGACTGAGAAACATGGATCTCATGCAAAGACTTCAGAGGGACTTTCCATGTGGCACTTATGAAGCAAGCCCCAGCCTCAGTGCAGGTAGGGAAAGGCACAAAACCAGTTGCCCTGTCCCTCTCCTCCATGAATAACACCTCAGGATTTTAAGCTCTTGAAAATTTAAAATCTTCTGCCTGTCAGTCGCTTCCCCACTGCCCTCAGGAAATGTGGTGCTCAGGGAGTTGGGCATGAGCTGCAGTCACAACAAGAAGGGCCTGGTTGAGGTCACCAGCGGGACCCATTCTAGCTGGATTGCTCTGAATTAAAGCCTTCCAGGGGAAGAGAAGTAATTAGAAGCATTTCCACTTGGCTGATAGCATGGTAATTTGAAACTGAAGTCAGGGGAAAAAACAAGATCTCTAATGGGAACTGGAAAAACATCAACACAGGAGAGCTGGGCCAGGTCCCAGCTGACACAGCAAGTGGCTGGGGGCTGCCTCTGTACCTGTAGCTTTGGGAAGAGTGTGCACCGCCTCAGTGATGTTCTCTCAGAAAAGCCATCTTTCATGACCCTGTCTCATGGGTGGTGTTTTGGGACATTGGTGGACCGGCCTCCATCACTGCCTGCCTTTTTTTCCAGAGAGCGAGGACGAGTATTTCCCTCTCCAAAACTCCCCAGACCCCAGCACTTGCTCTGAATTGTGCCACTCTCCTGTTGCTGTGAAGCCCAGATTGATCTCTAATCTCTCTAGTCTGCAGGGGCATGCACCCCAGGAGTGTCCCTGATGACCCCGGCCAAGGAGTCTTGGATCAGCCACCTGGAGCTCACAGACACATAGTCCAGAAGGAGGAACTGCATGGCCAGTTTCTGGGGTGAAGGGGAGAGGCTTCTCCAAAAGCCAGCAAGGTCAAATACTGCTCCAGCAAGGAAGCTCTTGGCAGCAGAGGATAAGCCTTGTCACTGGCTGACTCCTGTCTTCAGGGACCAAAGCATGCACTGGGAATCAGCTTGGGATGCCCGGATGCCCAAAGGCTTTGTCACTGCCCTCTTGCTGCCATGAGATGTGAAAGGAGCAGAAGACACGTGGTAGCCCTCAGGGAGGAAGATCATGCAAAAAGAAAGCATGGATCCATGTGTTTTGTCCAAACCTTGGCCTCATGTTCTCTTCTGATCAACATCCAAACCGCACCAGAGCCAGGGTTAACCTGCCCAGCCTTCCCAGCATTTCCCACTGACACACCGCAGTGAACAGCAGAGCTTCTGGAATGCCAGACCTTGTGCTGGTCAGCAAGGAGAAGTGCCAAGTCCTGTCTCCAGGGAGGAACAGCCCCAGTCACCAGGACACACTGGGTTGACTCTGAGCCAGTGATCCAGGCCAGCAGAGACTGCAGCTACAGCTTCACTTCTGCTAAATCTCAGAGGAGTTTCCACTGCAGGAAAGCCCCCCACCACTCCACAGCACCCTCTGTGCCAGCAGCCTTTGTGCCTGGCTGACAGCAAACCAGAAAGGCATATTAAAATATAGTTTATTGCTATTCTTAGTTTATAAAAACCAACAAACCAAAACCCACTAGTAACAAACCCAGTCCCCAAACCCAGCACTATCTGAGGCAGGCTTGCAAGGACACACCTTTAGTGCAAAGAGGAAAGTGGCAGTGAGGGCTGAGGAGGCTCTGCTCGCTTCAGTTCCCACAGAACCCACCATGCCCACTGTACAGTATCAATTTGCCCTGGGGCTGGTTAGGGAGGGCTGGCCGAATTCTCAAGGTCTGGTGGGAGTCCCGGGGGAGCTGGAAGTGTCAGAGGGGGAACACAGGGTGTCATGGCTGTGAAGAGCAGCTTTGACACCTCATGTCAGCAACACAGGACGTGAAGGCATGCTGAGCCAAGGGGCACTGCCCACACCTTTCCACAGATACAGCACTTTGCCAAACAGCTGCTGTCTGTTCTCCTGGGCTTTCCAGTGTGGAAACTAGACGTGTGCCCTACCCTGTGGCTGCTCCCAGCCTCAGGTGCCAGAAGTGTTGGTGGGAACTAGGGGGTATGGATCTAGAGCATGGCTGCACCC